CTGCAGATCACCCGGCAACAGTACCAGAACGGGCTGATGGCCTCACGGATGGAGAACTGCCCTCAGTTTCCCTTGGATGGGTGCACCATCTGCACGGAGAACTTGGTAGACAAGCCTGAGCTGCCTGTGGTGGACGAGACCACAACTCTCCTCAATGAGCGCAATGCCACGCTGCACAAAGCTGGTCCTGAGAACACCATCTGACAGGAGGGCCCGGGGCCCCCTGCCAGCTCCGCGGGGGCCGCCCCAGTGGGCCCGCCTGAAGAGAGGGAGCCTGTCAGGGTGCACACGGGGTGCAGATAACCTGTCTTACTGAGCAGCCCGGTGGCCCCCAGCCTGTGGGGAGGCTGGCCTCTGATGGGGACCTGTGAACAGTTCTGAAGTAGCGGCTGCCCAACCCTGGACTGTGCGATGGAGTAGCCACCACATGAAAGGCTGTGTTTTTACTGGAGACTTTCTAAACTAGGCTTATTGCTCCTCTTTTTAAGTATCATTTGGGGAGGGGAAGACAGGGTTAAGGAACTTTATTTAAAAAAATTTTTTTTCACAGAAACTTTGAAAGGGGGTAGGGTTTTTCACTCTGGGAAGCAATAGCCATTATCTACTCCCAGCCACAACTTTCTGGCTAAGTCCCTGACTCAGGGAGCCCACTCTTCCTTCTCCTTGTCCTCCAAAGACGGGGTCCCAGAAGCCGTGTCTTCCCAGGAAGCAAAGAACCAAATAGCATTGAGGACAACTGCCTGGACGTGTGCACAGAGGCTAGTCTGACGTCGCTGAGGCCAGGGGATTCTGGGGAGCTGTGATCAGGAACTGATACTCCCAGCTACAGCAGAGGAGCGCTGCTCCTGTCACTTGCTGGATCCAGGACTTTCTGAGAACCCTGTTGATAAGCTCTCCTGGTGAGTTGGGGCCACTGAGGACTCACCCGTCTCCATTGGTTTGCCTCATGTCTGCCCTTTTGGACAACTGTCCTCTTGTAATGGGGCTGACTTGACGGTTTAGGCAGGGTTTCCTACCTTTCAGTTTGCTCGCCCCTGCTCCCCAGGCTGCCCTCACTTTTACCAAAGGCATCCCCCCTGGGTTGGGACAGCATCTACACTCGAGGTGACTTGTTTGCAATACTCCTTTAGGTTCTCGGAGGGAATCCGGTCATGGGTATATGCATTAGCAAGTAATACCATCCTCTTCCCACCCCACAGCCAAAGTCCAGTCTGACCCTTGTACGTTGCTTTCCAGACTCCCTACTAGCTTAGAAATCCAAACCCCAAGGCCTCTTGGAGATTGAGAACAGAGCATGTAAGAAGCCAACCTAAGCAGGTTCTTCACGCCCATGCTGTTTCCCCTGTAGCTGAGGCTTATGCGCCCTCTTTATACACTTCCAGGACCCAGGAAAAGTTTTCACCTTAAAGGCACACAACTGGTGGCCACGTTTCCCCCATGTCTGTAATCCTAGTGTGAGATGTCGTCCTGGCTGTGCTGAAGCTGGTGGTGCAGAGCTCCACGCCCACAGGAAATCCTGCTCCAGCACCTTTTCCCTGGGGCTGAATCAGGCCCTGCTGCATGGCTGCGGCCTTCCCACTGCTGGGGAGACTGCAGGACCAAGGTCCATGTTGGCCCTTTTGTCAGATGGAACAGTTGCTGGGGCCTGAGATCTGGCGAGGGAGACTCTGCAGGCCTTCCACCTGAGTACTGTTTACTCCTTTCCTCAGCCAGTGAGTTCTGTCACCCCAAGTGCTCTGCTTTTCAGGTGCCTGCAGAATCCTGTCTTGGGACCAGGAAATGTTTTGCACCAAGTATGCCTGCCCCTGGCCAGTCACAGAACTTATTCCTAAAAGTCTGAGGGAAAGTGGTGACACCCATGGGTTCTCAGCCGGGAGGAAAAAAGACACTGGACCTTTGTCCCCTGTGGGGGAAACCCCTTAGTTTTCTACAGGAGCAGCTTGCTGAGTCCACATGGAAGCTTGCAAAGCTGCGTTCTTGAGACCCGAGTGCCAGGTGGGGCCAAGCACATTGGCCTAAACCAAGTGTGTGTGAAGTAAAAGCAGGTGCACACACTTCCACAGCTACCTCTTTGCACACACAGTTCCTATCAACAGATGGTCCCTCTTCCTCCACCCCTCCCCTTCCCTTTTATAATCACTTCTTGCATAGGGTCGTAATTATTTCCAAATATTCCTGGTCCAATGACTTCCTCCTCCCAGTGCAATTTTTCACTTCCTATTCCAACCTCTGGTTCCTGAGCTGAGCTCTACCCTGGAACTGGCCCATCCCTGCACATCTGTGTAAGGGAGACCTTTGCAGATGGCCACCAAATGGGTAGGCAAGTCACAGCCATCATAGTAACTCATATTTATTTTGCGTAAGATTTTAATTTGTATATTTTTGTGATTTATTTTGGCATTGTTATGAGTTTGACTCTCGGGGAGTTTTGTTGTTATGACTCGTGTCTTTTGTCACAAAACAATGATATTTGCTAAACAATATATGGAATTTTATTTTTGATTGGTAATAAAAAATGAAATAGGAAATCGTGGTGAGCCTAAAATTTGCCTATTTGAGTGAGTATTCAGTACCTGTCATAGAAATAGAAGTGACTTGGGAGTGCCTGTCACTTGTGTTAGGTCAAGGGGCCAGTATTCTGGGACGGTTTAGTAGTAGTAAAGCAGCAGTAGAGCCCTGGCTGGTGTGGCTCAGTAGATTGAGTGCTGGCCTGGGAGCCAAAGGTCACTGGTTCAATCCCTGGTCAGGGCACATGCTGGGATTGCGGGCCAGATGTTTCCCTCTTTCTCCCTCCCTTCCCCTCTTTCTAAAAATAAATAAAATCTTTAAAAAAAGAAGAAAGCAGAAATGTAATTTACAAAATATGTATAATCAGGCCTGGTCTCACAGGAGCTGTGAGACATACTTGGCAAATGTGCTTAGTTACCACAATTAGAAATCCTGTAAAATGGACACCACAGGGTCTTCTGCCAGCAGGTACTGGAGCGGGCAGTTGAAGTGGGCAGATGGCCCCTCCTCGCTACTCTGGAGGCTGAAGGAGAAAGGAGCCTGACCCAAAGATGGGATCATATTGCTTTATAATGTGCAGTTGCCTCGTAGTCTCGAAATGGGAGTGCTCATCTCCTGAGGAGCCCATCTGAGAGTGACCTCACTACATCTACTCCTGCAGTGCCCACAGGTGTCTTGGCCATAGTGAATGATTGTGTTGAGGCCGGGGGGCTCAAGCCAGTTAGGCTTAACAGAGCCGCCAGGTTGGGGGGAATGTTTAAAGAAAGGGAGGCACTTGTGTATGCAAAGAAGACATTCTAGATAAAAGAAGTATTTTTAAAAAGCTGTGTATAGGTGGGAAGAATAAATGTCATCCACCCATCTGTTCCACATGTTAAAGCCCCTGTTGCATGCCAGGTGCCACCAGTCCCTCAGCAACTTTAATGAGTAAGACCCCCTGAGGGAGACAGTCACACAAGGACCCTTGGATTTGCTGTCTCCCCCACCTGGAACACCTTCCCCAGGTTTTGTGAGGTTCACCTTGCTTGGTCTAGTCCTGTTCAAAATCACCTCCTTGTAGAAGCCTTCCTAGATCACCCTACATAAACTGCATGGTCCCAACCCCTCTCTCTTCTAGTCTTGTTTTTCTCCATAGCACTTACTGCCAGATACTAAAATACGATTTGTGCATTTCCTGTTGTCCCAACACTGGACCCTAAGCTCCAGGAGAGCATGGACTTTCTTATTTCCACACAGTCCCAGCACTAGAGGGACTTGATACATTGCAGGAACTCAATAGAGAAAATACTTGTTGAATGAATGCACTTACCACCATAAGGTAAGTATTGGATGCTCTTGGAGAGAGGCAGCTAGTTCTCATAACCTTGACCCAACCTAGTCAAGATGGTGGAGGAAGGCCAGCTGGAGGAAGTGACTTTTGCAAACAGGAAGCAGGAATTAGCCAGTGAAGTCACAGTAGCTATGGGTTTAAAACAAATATTCGAATAAAACATGGAAATGTCTTGAACCAACAGGAAATGATCAGTAAGGAAAATGGCCCACGAAGGGTCAACGAGTGACCGGAAGGTCAAGTGGCAAGTGTCTATTGATACTGCGACTAACCAGGGGATGGGAAATGGCGCACATCTGAGGAACTGGGGAAGTACAGTTGAGGTTTCTACTGCTAATAGGAAAGTACTCAGTGAGCAGCTTCGCCCTGTTCTGCATTCTTTGTTTTTGGATACTGACAGTTCAAATGACCATTTGTGCTTTTCAAGTGTGATCCAAATTGCTCAGTGTCTGTCCAAAGGTTTTCCCAACGAAATTAAGTGGCAGATAGGTCCTTTCCCCAGGAAGTCTGAGACCAAAGAATAAATACAAGCGGAATGACAGGTCCATGCATTCCTGACAGAGCCGCTGTATCCGAATGTGGCTGGGTTGGTGACCTGGGTGGATGACGCCATATTAGGTAGGTAGCGCTGGAACCCAACAATCCGCGCCGAGCCAGGCTTTACTTTTCTCCCGGAAAACATCATGAAGTAGCGGCGAGGGTTCCAGGGGGTAGCGATCTCGTGTTTATATCCTCCTCCCCAAGGGTTGTGTCGTCGTCCTAGGACTACAGCGAGGTTGGGAGCCATCAACAAGCATCTTCCCGAATCTGAGTTTCCCGGAGCCCAGCTTCGGGTCTCCCTTCAACGTCCTTGCCTCTAGCCGGCAGTTCCCAGGCTCTTCCCTCAGAGAACGGCACGTCTCCCAACACGAAGATCCCAGCCGGTGGCCGCCCGAGACTCCTCAAGGCGCTAGCCAAGTCTCCCGCGCTCAGACTACCGCCCCACGCGCCGCGCCCACAGGCCCCGCCCCGCCGCGCCCCGCCCGCGTCCCTTGTTTACGCCCCAGCGCACCCTAGCCCGACCCTGGGTACTCCCCTTCGCGTCGCCCATTGGCGCAGAGGGTACGAGCCCGGCGCCGATTGGCCGGCGAAGGCGGAGGTAGGCTGCGCTGAGGCCGAGAAGGGCAGCGGGCGATGGCGGCAGCAGCGGCGGCGGGGCTGCTGGGCTGGCTGCTGGCCGCGCTCTGCTTGGGCTACGCCGCTGGGGAGGCGGCGCAGGGCCCGCGAGTGCTGGGCGTCTGCCTGGAGCAGGCTGGGGCAGCGGGCGCAGCGTGGGCACGCGGAGGGGAGGTGCCGGCTGCGCCCGAGGCCACCTTCCGCTTGCGCCTCTTCGGCTGGGGCTTTGCTAACAGCTCCTGGTCCTGGGCGGCCCCCGAGGGGGCGGGCTGCCCCGAGGGCGGGCCGGTCGCGGCGCCCGGTGAGGCGGCGGCCCCTACTGGAGAGTGGCGCGCGCTGCTGCGCCTGCGCGCCGAGGCCGAGCGCCCGCACTCGGCGCAGCTGGGGACGCGCGGGGAGCCCGGCGGCGCGCCGGCGGCCGCCCCCGCGGGCGAGTGGCGTGCGCTGCTGCGCTTGCGTGCCGAGGCTGTGCGCGCGGAGCCGAGCGTCGCGGCGGCGTTCCAGGAGGCGGTGCCACCGTGGGTGCTTGGATTGGGGGCGGCGGGGCTGCTGGCGCTGGCAGCCCTGGCACGGGGTCTCCAGCTGAGCGCGCTGGTGTTGGCACCAGCCGAGGTGCAGGTACTCCGCGAGAACGGCTCAGAGGCGGAGCGCGCGGCGGCGCGGCGCCTGGAGCCGGCGAGGCGCTGGACCGGCTGCGCCCTAGGCGCGCTGCTGCTGCTAGCCAGCCTGGCACAGGCGGCGCTGGCTGTGCTGCTGTACAGCGCGGCCGGCCAGCGCGCCGTGCCTGCCGTGTTGGGCAGCGCGGGGCTCGCGTTCCTGGTGGCTGAGGTGCTGCCGGCCGCCGTGAGCGGACGCTGGACGCTGGCTCTGGCTCCGCGCGCTCTGTCGCTCAGCCGCCTGGCCGTGCTGCTCACCTTGCCTGTGGCGTTGCCGGTGGGGCAGCTGTTGGAGCTGGCGGCGCGACCGGGGCGGCTGCGAGAGCGTGTGCTGGAGCTGGCACGAGGCGGCGGGGACCCCTACAGCGACCTAAGCAAGGGTGTGCTGCGCTACCGGACAGTGGAGGAAGTGCTGACGCCGCTTGAAGACTGCTTCATGCTCGACTCCAGCACCGTGCTGGACTTTGGCGTTTTGGCTAGCATCATGCAGAGCGGCCACACGCGCATCCCGGTGTACGAGGAGGAGCGCTCCAACATCGTGGACATGCTCTACCTCAAGGACCTGGCCTTTGTGGACCCCGAGGATTGCACGCCGCTTAGCACCATCACCCGCTTCTATAACCATCCGCTCCACTTTGTCTTCAACGACACCAAACTCGACGCCGTTCTGGAGGAGTTCAAGCGAGGTAAAATCCAGGAATTGCGGAGGGGACCCGAAGGCCTTCGCCTTCTCCTAGAAAAGGGATGGGCGGGCGGTTATGGAAGCCTTGGGGAGAGAGGGTGGCGGCCCTGTGGAGGGTAGTGAGACCTCTACGTGCTCTTTTAAAGAAAATGATGGCCTCGCAGCTCTGAGTGACCTTTTGAAATATTATTTAAAGGCTATCGTTCAGAAGGTGAGAGTTCTAGAGAGCAAAATCTCCCTTTTCCAAGGAGGCCCCCCCAATTCTGGGAGTTACATCCACTAGGCTCTAATCCTCCAGCTCTTTACCTCTCCAGGTCATTTTTATGGGCTTTGGCTTTGAAGCAGGTTCAAACTCTTGGATAGAAGCTTTAAAAAGTAGGAAAAACTAGTCTTCAATAACTTGAAGCTATTATTTGTCTGCATGTACAGGCATACTTTGAATATTGTGGATACGGTTCCAGACCACTACCATAAAGCAAGTCTTTTTGCTGGTGGAGGGTCTTACCTTCAATTTGTAGAAAATGCAACATCTGTGAAGAGCAATAAAACAAGGGATACCTGTAATGGCAAATAAGCTGGGCCTGTTTCCAGGTTATCATCACTGATGGGTTGCTTCCTTCTTGATTACAGAAAAGGGAGTGATTGGCAAATACCTTTCTGTAGGTGTGGATGAAGTGTCCACTTTGATTTTGCCAAAAGCAACTTCATGGATGATGGTTTAGCTTCTCCTTCATCTGTCTTTAGAAAACTTCCTCCATCTCCTAGAAAACTTTCTCTTTTCTAACCCTAAAGTCTCTCAAGTTCCTCCTAAACTACACATATTCTCTCTCTTTCACCTTGATATATCTGAACAACTCTAAGGTTGCAGGTAAAAACGAAGACCTACCTTCCAAGTGTGACAGTGTGGGCACTCCTCTGCAGTCCTCTCCATTGGAGGCTTGGGTGTGCTCCTTAGAGCTTGGCTGCTCCTTTGCTGCCAGCCTGCCCTCCTGCAGGATGGACACAGGGAACTCCCCAGGATTCTGGGTGGGCTTGATGCCAAAGCCTGTATGTGAGGCTGGGAAGTGAGCATAGCCCCCTGATCTTCCTGGCATCCATGAGGTCTCCCACGCTAGGCTATCCTGGGAGGTGCTCTGTGAGCCCTTGACAGACTGCAAGGAGACGGCTTTGTGGTAATGACTGTGTTACTCCTGAGTTAGCACTGCTGTATGCCAGGCTGTAGTGAACATGCATGTGCATCATCACCCTTCATCCTTTCCAGAGGCCTGAATGTTGCATAGTTGGGCAGTTACTGATACTACTGTGCCTCCTAGTGGGTAGGAGGCTTTGATGGGTAGCTGACAACCCTGCTAGAGAATCTGACGAGTGGCCATGCAGCCCTGCTCAGGGAAGCGGAGCCCAGGTAGGGGCCAGACAGAACCTCTTGGTGTTAAGTACTTCACCTGGGCCTCTGTAGTCTGCGAGGTAGCCCTGGAGTCAGCTGGGGAGCGTTCATTCCATCTGACTCCTGCCATCTCCCAGCCTGAGACCCTGGGGACGCTGAACTTGACTGCAGGGTTCTGCCTGTGAGCAGAGCTTGTTGTCATGACTGGTGTGAGGAACAGTGGGTTGGTGGTGGGGGGTGCAAATGAGAGAGGATGGCAGGCTGAACAAGGCCTGGAAAGGAGACCCAAGAGGACATTTGGAGGTGGAACTGGGAGGACTTTGTGGTTGTCAGGATTTTGTGGTTTGGAGGCAAGAGGGAGGAGATGGGGAGGAGGCCTGGATTTTCACTTCCCCTGGGTCAGAGCAAGGTCAGGGAAGGGAGGGTGGGGGTGGGGCTGGGGCTGGGCTAGGAGTTTGATCTGGACATTGGAGTTTGTGTAGTGGCCCTGTTGCCAAGTCTTAGGGGCCAGATGATGCGAAATTGGAAGGATCTGAGTGGAGGTGAAGGTCTGGTTGTGTGTGTTAAAGGGGTCCTTCAACAACAGAAGGGAAGTAGAGAGCATAACCCTGAGGGTGCATGCGTGTCCTGTGAGGGCAGCAGAGGAGAGGCCGCTGAGAAGGGCCAGTGGCTCAGAACATCTCGACGCTGGGGAAGAGACCACTCATCAAGGGAAGGAGAGTGATCAGGAGAGGAGGCTGGTGTTGTGCCACCTGGATCCAGCCAGCAGGGTTCCCTTGACTTTTGCACAAGTGGATTAGATGCTGTCGTGTGGGGTGATGGATGGAGTGAGTAAGGCATGAGAGGATGACAGTTATTGAGACGGGCTTTCCATCAGGTGTGGCTGCAGAAGAGAAGCTAGAAAGCAGTGGCTGTGAGAGGATGGGCAAATGGGTTTGGGTTTAGGTTTAGATGCTCTTGGAAAGGAGCCAGTAGATAGGGTAGGCCACTCCTGTGCTGGGTGGTAACCTCAGGCCAGCTCTGAACAGCCAAGCAGGTTTCACGCAGCCTGATACTGACCCCATAGCTGCCTATTAGCAACTACTACTGCCACTACTATTACTGCTAGAAACTGGTAGGGACCATTTGCAACCTGGAGATTGAGTGGGAGGGCTTCCCTCCCCTGCCGCCATCCTCCTGTGGTGAGTGCCATACTTAGGGCAGAATGGCCATGTCTTTTCTGAAATCCTGAAGCTTTCTCTGCTTCTTGTGCAGTGCAGTTCTTTGGTGGATATCTTCTTTTTAGCCCAACCCCTTTCTTCATTCTGCTTATGAACAAAAGGCATATTGCAGCCTTGATGAGGTTTTAGAACTTGGTTCCCGTCCCACCTCTCTGCCAGGAGTGTGAGGTGGTGGTGCCTCTGAACTTCCTGAAGGTGAAGTCCCTGGCATCTTGGCAGCTCTCCTTCCAACCCCTGTTCCTGTTATGGTTCTAGAGCCGCGTCTCTCTGGGACTGTATAGTCTGGGAGAGTCGCCTTCCCCAGTGAGGAGCCTTCAGTCAGCGTGCAGACTTAAGGAGACACCGATTATTTTGTGCACACATTACCAGGAAGATTATTGCAACTATAGTAAACATATAATTCCTTTAAAACCACCAGCCTCTGCCTTCTCTGTCGACCCCTAATGGGACAGTTTAAGGACATTCAGCCAGAGGAGGGGTTAGGATAGATGTTTGTCAGACTCTGCTTTAAAGCACCTGAGTTCGTGTTCATTGTCAAGAGCCACAGCTTTGAAGAGTCAGATCTGCCATGGGGAATGTTAGCAGTGTTCTTTCTTATGGGACAGATTCAGACAGTTGCCTTAAAAAACAAAAGGAGAGGGCAGAGGAATTTAAACTCCAACTGAATTTTTTAAGAATATCCTAGAAGCTAGGCATTCTGAAAGAGTCCTCAAGCATTCATATAATTTATGAGTACCTTTGTGCCTGCAACTAACTAAAATTAAACTCGAGCTTTTTCGGGGCTTTCTGTTGAGTGTTGTTAAGATGCACCACCTGCCCCTTGCTTGTGGCTCTGGCACAAAGCAGGCCTTGTGGCTATGTTTGCAGTGGGCCAGCAGGGCCCATATTTTCAGAGTGTTTTATCCTCTCAGATGAAAAATAAACATAACCCCGCCAACTGCTCTTCTGTGTACTTCTGCTGTTTTCTCACAGTTGCCTTCTGGGCCTCCTCAAACATTGTCTTGAGATGAAATCACATGGCCACTGTTTTAGGGGATCTTCTATGGGGCAGGTCACCAAGAAACTTACGCCTATTTCATGTAAGTTGGAAGACAAGAGAGAAGTTAGTTCATTCTGCAGATATCCTGCCAAGGCGAGTAGCTTCGTGGAAAAAGGGAGCTGAAATGGGTTCTCTGTGCTGTTAGATGGCCATATAGAACATGCGCTTTGGTTCTAGACTCTGAGAAGACAGCTAGCCAAAATTGTGTGTCGTGGCCTCTCTGATCTGGCCGGACAGATTGGTATCATGTGGCAGGGCCCCTATGGCCCTTCTAGAAATGTCGCCTGCCTTCTGGTGTGAGCCATTCCCAACACAAATACCAAGGGGAGAAAAGCATCTAGAAATGCTGCAACCCCCATTCAGTGCCTGTCTCAGCAGGAATGAGCAGATCATTCTCCAGGGACTCCCAGCCGTTTCCTTTGGAAAGGGTGAGGCATGTAATGTAGTCGTTTCCACCTTTAATTTTTGTCTGAACTTATTAGAGCATCACTGAGATGAAAAAGGAAGAATGATTTTTTTTTCTTTTATTTAAATGGGCCCTGTGGGAATCACCTGAGGGGAGGGTCTTCTAAGACTCAAATCTGTTCTCGATGAAAGCCAGTGAAGTGTGGTGGTGAAGAAAATGAACTTGGGAGCCAGCTGCTTGGGTTTGAATCCTGGTTTTGCACTTGGGTGGGTTACTGGACCTCTCTGGGCCTCGTTTTCTCTGTAAACTGTAAATGGGAATAATAGTACTATAGGCCTCAGAGAGTTGTTGGGAAGACTCAGTTAGTAAATGAGTAAAGCCCTTGGTGGCCAGCACACAGTAATCACTAAAATGTGCATCTTCACCTCTCTGCAGTCAGGCTATGCTTCACAGGTTTAATAAAATATAATAAATGTTATCTTTTTATTCTTTTACAACCTCATTCCTTTCTTGATCATCCTGATAGTGGTTTACTGTTACTAGTAATAATACAGTAATAGTTTTTGATTGATTCTTGACATTTTTGCATTTCATCCAATTTTGGAGCAGAGGTCTTCCTGTACCTGTTTGTTCGGAAGGGGGAAGGGAATGCTGTAGGAATGGGGCAGGCATGCCAAATGGAGTTCCACAGAGTGTGTTTCTAAACTCATTGCATTGTAATTAAACCCAACAAGGTATGTAAAGGTTGATTCACACAAAGGAAGGAAATTGACTTCTTGTTTAACCGAAAGATTCTTGAAGCAAGTACCCTCTTCATGTGCAGGCCCAGGCCAGATTTCCCCCTAAGCTATTTTCACTAGTTAACAGTGAAGGGTGCAGTTGAGATCAGTCTGCTCTCAGGTCCTGGACCTGGACAACCCAGTTACTACCACTCGTGTGGCTACTGCACTCTGGAAAGGTAACTAGTAGTCTGAACTGAGATATGCGGTAAGTGCAAACACACGTCAAACTTCAAAGACTTGGCACACAAAAGTAAAACATCTATTAATATGTTTATATTGATTATATGTTGAGGTGATATTTTAGCTATATTGAGTTATATATATATATGGAATTGTATATTTGTATATATATAACACAATACATTATCAGTTCATTTCACTGGGGTCTCCTTTCTTTTAATGTAGCTCCTCAGAAATTTGAAATTATATATCTGGCTTGCATTGTGTTTCTTTTGTATAGGTATAAAGTTTCATAGGTGAAGAGCACTTAGCTGAGGCAGAGTAAATTCCTGATGTTTCCCCAACACTCAGAAGTGTGAGATTTTTTTCAAGTTTGCATTCCTTGTTAAACAAACAAATAGGAGGGCAGCTGGAGAAAGACAGAAGAGGAAGGGGAAAGTTCCCTGCTGCTTTCCGTCCTGCCATACAGCTTGGGCTCTGACTGGCCAATTACCATTTATCTTCAATCTCTGGATGACCTTCATAGATCTTGGCTTCTAGAAATAAAGGGCAGCTTTCAGAATTAGGAAAACTGCCCTAGGGGAATCAGACTGGGGGGTATCCTGTCATCTCCCCCACCTAGATAGTCCCAGGGAGCCTGCATTTCTGGATTTAGTGCCTTGTGCCTGCAATTTGTCTGATGTATCCATGCCTAAGCCACATTTGTGGCTTGGAGCCACACAGACTCGGAGCTGACTCCTGCTCAGGTGAATGCAGTATCTGAGGTTTAGGTTCTTTGCATGTGAGGTGAGGCCGGTCCTCATGACCATGTTGCAGATCTTCAGTAAAAACCTAGAAAGGTCATGCCCAGTGCCTAGTGCTTCATAGGAACACAAATATTAACATCTGTTCTTTTGGTGGGCTTGTACGGGATGGGGCCGAGAAACAGAGGACCCTCCAGCACACTAAAATGCACATCCCCTCCCCCAGGGAAGTCCCACCTGGCCATCGTGCAGAAGGTGAACAACGAGGGTGAAGGTGACCCCTTCTATGAGGTCCTGGGCCTGGTCACCCTGGAGGATGTCATTGAGGAGATTATTAAGTCCGAGATCCTGGACGAATCTGAGGACTACCGTGAGTCTTGCCTCCTGGCAGTTTTTGGTCTTTCAGGTTCGCTGAGATGTGTGTTCAGAGACAGATGTGGGTCTCTGAGCAGAGCGGTTACCTCTGTTTTTCTTTCCCTTGCGTGGACCAGTGTTGCCCCTTTACAGGAGGGCCCACTCCTGCCCGTGGATATAGAGCCGTTGTGGCCCATCTATCGGTGGACTTGCAGCCCCAGCGCTTGTTTGGGGTTCCATTTGTTTTCTCCATCACTGAGGGGCTCTGCCCCTAATGGGCATTTCCTGGACTCTCTTTCTCACACTTTTTGCTTCTCATGTGGTTTGTACATTACAGAAGTATCTCCTCAAAGAACCTGTTCTTTACTAAGGTGGTCTTCCCAAAACATGTTCCTGGGGCCCATGGTTGTGCCTTAGAAGCATCTGCCTCTTAGGATGGTGGCTCAGGTCTGCAGGGTTGACAGAGAACCCATGTTTGATAACTGGGTCCTCACATAACACTTAGGACACTGGGCCACCCACCCATGTGTGCTGTTAAGTGAATTGCTTTGCCCATGCATGTATCCCACAATGCGGCATTTTAAGTTTTGTTTCTTGACTGCCTCAGGCACAAGGCCGCTAGATTAGCTGCCACCATGTAGCACCAGGGTTCCTCTGGTGCCTGCTTTCCAGCGAGCAGTCTTCTAATGACCACAGGTGCCTGTCACTTTGCTGCTGCTTTGTGTCATATCAACGTTATCTTCTCCCAACTCCAGGAAGAGGTACAATCTCTTCCAGTACTTCCTTGGGGGTGTGGCTGCAATATAGGCCACTTCCCCTCTGTCCTGGGTATCAGGATACCTGTGTGGTGGCAGTTGACATTCTGGGTAACAATCCAGGGAGCCAAGGATGTATCTCTGGGGTTGTCTTCCAGGAACTCCCAGGCTTGTGGAGGGGGTGCTGGCAACATGCTCCTTAATTTAGTCACATGGAAGGGAGGGTTGCTCATGCCTAAGCCCCTCCTGCTTACCATCCCAGGAGACACCATGGTGAGGAAGAAGCCTGCTTCTCTCAGTGCCCCTCTCAGACGGAAAGAGGAATTCTCTTTGTTCAAGGTGTCTGATGAAGAGTGTAAAGTGAAAATCTCGCCTCAGCTGCTCTTGGCCACCCAGCGCTTCCTTTCCCGAGGTGAGGATGAAGGGTGGGCCTTGTCCCCACTCTCTTGCTAGCCATCCAGTAGGTCAGGTGACCCCCCCGCCCTGGGCAGACACTGACTGCTCCATCCTCAGTAAGCAGGAGAGCATCCAGGAGAACCTCTGGGCTCAAAAGAGTGAGCAGAGACACTCTTTTGGATGCTCACGTCATCTGAGGGGGCAGCTTCTCTGTGGCAAACTACTGAAAGCCAGGGCCAGGCTGGTGCCGCCCGTGGTGTATGTGGCTGCCCAGTCCTCTTGTGTTGGGAAGGGGACATGGCTTGAGGGCCAGCCAGGAGATTCAAGGTGGGCAGCAGGAGTCAGTGTGGTTACACAGGCCACTCAGGGCCCAACGGCCACTTCTCTCCTCTCTGCCATGGGCAGAGGTGGATGTGTTTAGCCCATTGCGAATCTCCGAGAAGGTCCTGCTGCACCTGCTGAGGCACCCCAGTGTCAACCAGGAGGTGAGGTTTGACGAGAGCAACCGCCTGGCTGCACATCATTACCTGTACCAGCGTAGCCGGCCTGTGGATTACTTCATCCTCATTCTGCAGGTAACCGGGAGCCTGGGCCAGGCCCCCACCTGACTGGAAAGCAGGGAAGGGTCTGAGAGAAGGAAGCACATCTAGGAACACCCCTGCATAATCAGAACGGGTGCTTTCTGCTTGTGCACCCTTCCAGCAGGAATGGTAACGTGTGCGCATCTGTGTCTCTCCCCTCACCTCCCAGGGCAGGGTTGAGGTGGAGATTGGGAAGGAGGGCCTGAAGTTTGAGAATGGGGCCTTCACCTATTACGGCGTGTCTGCCCTGACCATGCCGTCCTCGGGTAAGCAGCAGCCCCTCCTGAGTGAAGGTTGGGCTCGCCGTGGGGCTCTCCCTCTACTCTTCCTGGGGCCCCAGGGCCAGGATTCTGCCCTTTTCTTCCTCCAGTCTTAAGCCTCCTACACGGTGGTCTGCTTCAGGACCTGCTGGATTTCCTACCTAAGGGCCATGCAGTGGGAGGGGGCAGCATTTTTTCAGGGCTCGTCTTTGTTCTTCACCCCCATCCCTGTAAGACCTTGCCCTGGAGGACGTGTGTTTACCAACCCTCCAAAGTTCCTGGCCGTAGTCCCTCCCCAGTGTGATTGTGGGGTGGATCTTAGAGGCTGTGCAGTTGTACCCACCAGACTGGGGGCTGCCCGGCTCCCAGTGTGGCTTACCCATCACTGATTTTTCCTTTCACTAGTTCACCAGTCCCCAGTGTCCTCGCTCCAGTCCCTCCGCCATGACCTGCAGCCTGAGCCAGCTGACGGCACCCACTTGCCCACTTATTGTCCTGACTACACCGTGAGGGCACTCTCTGACCTGCAGTTCATCAAGGTTTGGGCTGCTCATTGGTGCCGGCTTCTAACCAGCTTTGGGTTCCCAAGGGGCCAGACCACCTAGTCACCAGTTTGTGTGGATTGAGAGTAAATTCCAATGGAGCCAGTCTGAGATGTTCCAGAGCAAACTTTGAACTTGCTCTGCAGGGTGATACGGCTTTGGCTCCCCAGAGGCCCCCTTGACCACTGCTGATCTGGTGCCATCTCTGGGCCTGGGCACCCAATTTCCAGCTGAGATCTTAAAGACCCTTGCTTGAATGCTCTCTTCCACCCTTAGCTACCCTATAGCTCTTTCTCCTTGTCCTGCTCAGAGTGACTCCCACCTGGTTCAGGTGCGTGTGAGGGGTTGGGAGGGAGAGTATGACCATGGGTTTTATCTGCCCAGTAATGTGTTCTGTTCTCCAGGTCACACGGCTACAGTACCTCAATGCACTCCTGGCCACCCGAGCTCAGAACCTGCCACCATCCCCTGAGAACTTGGACCTCCAGGTCATTTCAGGCAGCCAGACCAGGCTCCTCAGTGACAGGACAGCCTCAGCAGCAGGTGAGCCTGCGTGGCCACATTCCATGTGTGTCAGCCAAGAAGGCGTGTGCCCTTCCCGGTCCCTGCTGCCAGCACACACAGACTTGCTCTCTCTGCCCTCGCTCCGCCCTGCATTCTTCTTTCTTCCTCCTTTTTTCTCTCCAGCCTCTTTTATTCTTGCTGGGTTTTTATTTTTATTTTCATTTTAACTTTTTTTTTTTTTAAATTTAGAAAGAGAGGAAAGGAGGGAGAAAGAGAGGGGGAAAACATTGATGTGAGAGAGAAATATCAGTTGGTTGCCTCTCATATGCTCCCTGTCCAGGAACTAAACCTGCAACCCAGGCATGTGCCCTGGCTGGGAATTGAACTGGTGACCTTTTGCTTCAAGGGATGACGCTCAACCAACTGAGCCACACCAGTCAGAGGTTCTTGCTGTTTTCAAAAGCTCGGATGATACTGAGCTACATACACCAAGAGATACATGAGTATATGAAGTCAGCATTTTCTTTCTCTTGAGGGGCTGTTAGGATGGTTGACTGAATTAGAAAACATTTGTTAAGTGGGAATAAGATCAAGTTCAGCGTCTCTGTTGGCTGTTTAGGATTAGGGTTAGGTCATCTGGAAAATGAAGATTCGGGTCACCAGCGTGTCTGGCTCAGAAGGTGAATGGATGGCTGGTGGGCGCCATCCCAGCTTGAAAGGGGACCTGAGGCCTCTTGTTAAGTCACACATGTTTAAAACAGGCCCTGAGTTCCACTGTGCACATGAGGACAGTGTTATAAGATTCAGATGTTGTGGTAAGGTGGCAAACTCACGCTCCCTGTGTAAGGAGGGAGGATACAGAGCAGTCTGTGAAGAGTAGGCTTTTAGGAGGAGTTGGTCAGTGCCTGGGAACTTTCTTGTCCTTGTTAATCAAGGTTCTCTTACTCTGATTGAGCTCCTAGGTTAGGGTCAGAGATACTCTAGTGCTTGGCATTTCTGGAGAAGTATGTGGGGCTTTGGAGAAGCTGTGGGAGGGAATGCAGACCTCAGGGCCTGACTCAACCCCTGCAGTGGGGACACTGGGCCCTTAGTGAACACTGACTCTTCTGGGCACTGCTCAGCGCTTTCCTTAATCTCACTCGTCTAAAACCACTTCCCTGAAGTTTGAGAGGGGGTAGTTGTTATGCCCATTTTCCAGATGAAGAATTGGAGGAAGAGACAGACTCAGGCACTCTGGCCTTGAGCCTGTGTGTGCCCTTAGTCTCTGGGTTGTGGTGCCTCCCAGGTAACAGCTCTGCTTACTCAGACCCATGCTGTAAAACACAAGTGGTTTTGTGTAGCAGAAGGGTACTTTCTGAGAGGTGATGTACAGGTGCAAGGGGCAGCAGACACCATGCTGGGCCACATTGGTGGCTTAGCCCAATGCCCCATCTCTGAGTGTTGGGAAAAGAGGACCCCAGGTGGATGGAGTGTGCTGCTTCAGTCCTGCAAGTGGGCTGGCCTTGGACCCCTTCCAAATGAACATTCATGCCATCTCCTGGGGCTGGTGACACGCCTGTGTATACCCCTGTGATGTCCTTTGATTTTATGACATCCCCTTGTATGGAGGTTTACACTGTCGCATTAGACTTGTGTCTCAAGAGCCAAAACGTTTTTATGTGAGCCTTTTGGTTTTGATTTTCTCACAAGGGGGCCTTTCCTGGCTCCATCTCCTACTTAGACTGCATGTGTCCTGTTCAGGATAAATCTAAGAACGAGGGTTTTTTCTTCATTTCATTTTTTATCAGATACCCAGAGGTAAGTCTGCCTGCCGTCTTTCCTTTTCTTTCTCTCTTTCTCTCTCTTCTTTCTGCACTTTCTTTTTTTTTTTTAATTGCTTTTAGAGAGAGAGGAAGGGAAGGAGAAAACATCAGTCGGTTCAGGGATTGGACACACCTGGACAGGGGATTGAACTCACAACCTAGACATGTGCCCTGATCGGGAATCAAACGTGCAACTTTTCGATTATGGAATGATACTCCAACCAACTGAGCCACACTGTCTCAGGTCTCAGGGTTTTGTTTTTGTTTTTGTTTTTGTTTTTTGTTTGTATTTTTAAAAATTTTTATTGATTTGAGAGAGAGAAGGAAGAAACATTGACTTGTTGATTTTTTGTTCCACTTATTTACGTATTCATTGGTTGGTTCTTGTACGTGCCCTGACTGAAGATCAAACCCGCAATCTTGCTTATCGTGATGACTCTCTAACCAGCTGAGCTACCCAGCCAGAGCCTCCTCAGAGGTTTTTAAAATCAGTTTTTAGTTTCAGCTGCTCATTGGGCAGTCGTGTAAGGGAATAACTTGTGGCTCTTTGGGTCATTTCCCCCTTGTAATGGATTATCATCACTTTCTTTGATCATATTATGGGCTCTTTCCTCCTGCACGTGGCTTGACGTTTACCACCCTGAGGCTTGTCCCTCATCTTCCTGACCCTGGACCTCTGGCATCTCACTGCAGTGTCTCTGTTACCCTGGTGGGCTTCCTGTTGCTATGTGCATGACGGTTTCACAGTGCACTGCTTCAGTAGGGTAGGTCAGAGCCGCTGCTGTGTGACTTTGGCACTGGATTTCCAGGCAGAGGGGTATCTTTACTGACACACTTAGAAAGCATGATGACTTTTGATTGCTTATAGCAGGGTCAGCAAAGTGGACAAAGGGTTAGATCTGGCCCACTGCTTGTTCTTGTAAATAAAGTTTTACTAGGATCCGACTCTTTATTCACAGATTGTTTGTGGCTGTATTTGAGCTACAGTGGGGTTGAATTGTCACAGAGACGATATGACTTGCAAAACCTAAAAATGTTAGTCCTTTAGAGAAACAGTTTTCTGGACTCTGACCTGCCTTTTCAAAATTGAAGTAACTCCTCCACGTTGAGCATTTACAGAACTGGATTTCCAAGGGAAAATCCACAGAAGACTCCATGTTCCTTGACTCTCTTATTCTGAGCATCCGGAACGAGTGTCTATGCACTTCTGCTTTGGCTCTCCTGCCCAGCAGGTGTCGGTCTCGGGGCTGCGGGCAGAGGTTCTGCGGGGTTGCCTCAATAGCTTGTCTCCTCTCTCTTTCTCTCTGCTCTCTCCAGCCTGCCCAGTAGATGTTCCCCTCTTTGGCACATCTGGAAACTGCATTTGATAATTGACTGGACTAGTGAGCATTTTTTGTTTTAAGAAAACACCCGAGGTAAATATCTTTCTTTTTGCTTTGCTTTCCTTTCCCAGCCGTTTAGCTGCTAGGAGGAGCACAGAAACTGCTCCCCTGGCCTAGGGGGCCTTTCTCCGTGGCGGTGCATGGGCCCTTCCTGTCCTTTCCTGCTACTTTCCATTTCATTTTTCTAGAAGACAGGAGGACTCATGGAATACCTCCCCAGCCACGAAAACGAAAGCTCCCTTCCAGGGCAGATTCCCCTTGCTCAGCCTCCTGTGAGCAGAACCCTCATCCCCTGCTTTGCCACCTCTCAGAGATGACACCTGTCCTTGAAGTGGTGACTCTGTGAGGCGGAGTCAGGCTGACCATTTTTCTAACCAGTCACTCCCAAGTCTGCCTCGATACTTGCTGAGGCGCCTCTGCCTGACCTGATGCTTCCTATCCTAAAGAGGATTGTCACACTTTACTGACTAATACTCTCCTTTCCTTCTCTCCCCTAGGGTCCAGCCACGGCAGACCCAGCCTCCCAGTGGAGGAGAGCCCTGGGCGGAACCCAGGAGTTTAACTGCTTGCCAGGCAGCCCCAGGTTTGGGGAATAGACAAGCACGTGGGGAATGAAGCGAGTCCAGCTGTGGAGTAGATTCCTACCAGCCTGTCCTCATCCCCTCCAGGCCACGTTTTAGATGGCCCTTACAGATGTGGGTCCTGAGCTAGTCTCAGAACCAGGCGTCAGTGCCGGGAGCCCTCAGGAGGTCCTGCCTCCTTTAGGAAATGGGAGTCAGCTAGGCACAGCCCCCTAAGTCTGCTTCTGAAGGGAGTCAAAGGAACACCATCATTTCCATTTTCCAGGCCCAGCCTTCTCCCTGTGACAGTGCAGTATGCCTGTACCTCTTTGGGCCCAGCCAGGATGTGAGTGCACAATTACTGCCATTATGTGGCCGTGATCTGTACTCGCTTTGCTCCTAATCTGCCAACCGTCTGCTGCAGGCAGCACTGTGTGAGCAAACCAAAAGCACCAGTGTTGGGTCGGGGTTCAAATCCACGGCCATGGCTGTGGCGAACTTTGTGGCTTCTTTGACAGCGCCATGTTTCAAAGCACATCCCAGCCTGTCCTATGTGCCAAACCTGGAATCACGATTCTTCGCAAGTCTGTGCCACTTGTCCGCTCCCTCCTGTGGAGGTGGCTTTTCTGACCCTTACAGAGCCCTAAGCAAGCCAGCTGGCCCCCTGGGGGACTGAGGCGGCCTGCTCTTCCTGCTGTACTAGTGACCATTAACAGTATTGTCACTTTGTGTTTTAACAAGAAGTCACGTATGAGAGGAAGGGCTCTTCTGTTGCACCTAATTCTTCCTTCCTTGTCAGATCCAAGGAGAGTAACCAAGTATTGGACCACTTTCACCCCGTCCTGGCCCTCGGTGGGGGACCGTGTGTCTGTGAGTGCGTGGAAGGCAGCGGAGGGAGGGAAGGGTTGGATGAGGACTAGGCGGCTCACTATCACCTTTCTTTAAAAAAGCAAACAAACATGAAATCAAAGTTTTTCTGTATCTCTGAAACATTTTAAGCTTTTTGCCTGTTTCCTGTCCTGAGCTATGGGGTTTTAGAGAATCAGGAACAAGAAGGCACTTGTCTTTTTCTTCTGGTTTACCTTTATTTACCGCCCACAGTTCTTCAGCTCTGTAGAAACTGGGGCATCACAGTGCCTAGGATCTTAGGGACCTAGGATCTTAGATTGGTAGGGGGAGAGAAGGATTTCTGGAAAATTTCTCAAAAGAATTTGGGTCCTTGTCTGGGATCAGTGGAAATGAAGGTCAAACAGCAGTGCCGTGCTTGCTGAGAAGTTCTCAAGGAATTTACTCCAAGAGCAAAATCCCAAGTGGGAAACAGATACAGCAGGTCCTTGAAAAATGTCTCCTCCTAATGTGGATGAGATGCCCTCGGAACTTCACTCTTGCTTCTATCAATCAGTCTATGGTAAAAGTAGCTACATTGTAGTCCGCTCACTTAAAAGTTGCAGAACCTATTTGACAGTGAGGACTTACTGTACTTTAAAATCCTGTTTCTCCAGAACAGTGGTTCTTCGCCTTGGCTGCACATGAGAATCACCTGGCAAGTTAAAAACACTGAGACCTGGACCCACGCCAGGATTTAGCATCAGGATTTTATTTTTAAAAATAATTTTAGAGTCATAGAAGAGTTCCATGTACCTACCTTTCATCTAGCTTTCCCTAATATTAACATCTTACATCACCTTGGTACTTTTAGCAAAACAAGAGATTAACTTTGGTACAAAAATAAATCACACTTTATTTGGATTTTAGCAATTTTTCTAATGGGCTTTTTTCAGTCGCAGGATCCAATCCAGGATACCAATTTGCATTTAGAGCTATTACTTTTTTTGTCTCTTTGTTTTGAAATAATTATAGATTCATAGGAAGTTGCAAAGGTAGAGGTACCCTTCACCCTGTTTTCCTCAATGGTTACATCTTTCTTAGTTATAATACAGTATCAAGCCAGGAATCAAGACACTGGACAGTGAGGGTGTATAGTTATATTACCACCTCACGTGTAGCTTTGTGTAACCACCACTACAATCTAGATACAACTGTCCCATCAACATCAGGGTCTCCCTCCAACTACTTTTAGAGTCACACCCACCCCGTCTGGCCACCATCCCTAATCCCTGGTAACCACTGATCTGTTTGTCATCTCTATAATTTTATTTTAAGAATGTTGTATAAATGGGATCGTATAATGTGCAACCATTTTGGATTGGCTTTGCTCAGCATGTACCCTGGAGATTGATCCAGGTTGTTGGTGTGTGTCGGTAGTTCATCCCTTCTCATGGTTGCATGGTATTCCATGATGAATGCTCATTGTTCCCGTTAAGGTCATGGAGGTGGTTCCCAGTTTTTGGCTATTCCAAATAAAGCTGCTATGAACATTCATTACAGGTTTTTGTGTAAACGTTGGTTTCTTTCTCTGAGATAAATGTCCAGTAGTACAATTACTAAATTATATGGTCATTGCATGTTTAGTTTTTAAAAACTGTTTCAGAGTGGCTAAACCATTTTACATCCCCACCAGCAATGTATGACTGTCCCAGTTTCCCGAATCCTCGCTAGCATTTCTTATTGTCGCTCTTTTTTATTTTAGCCATTCCGGTAGGTATGTAGTGATACCTTATTGTGATTTTCATTTGTATTAACATAATGGCTAATGTATATCTTTCCATGTGCTTTCACTATATGAAATATCTGTTCATGTCTTTTGTCCATTTTCTAATTGGATCGTTTAGTTTTTTTACCGTGGAGGTTTTTTAAGAGTTCTTAATATATATTTTAAATACTAGTCCTTTGTCAGGGTTTTGGTTTATGAATATTTTCTCTCATTCTTATTAGCTTATTTTTTCATCCTCTAAACAGGATATTTTACAGAGCAAACGTTTTTAATTTTGATAAAGTCCAATTTACTGATTTTTTTTTAATAGATTATGTTTTTGGTGTCATGGGTAAGAATTCTTTACCTCCCACTAGATTCTGAAGATTATCTCCTATGTTTTATTTTCCTAAACTTTATAGATTTGTTTTACATTTATGTGTGGGATCCATTTTGAATTAATTTTTGCATAAGGTATGGCACTTAGGTCAAGGTTTTCTGTTTTTGTTTTTGTTTAAAGATTTTATTTATTTATTTTTAGAGAGTGGGGAAAGGAGAAAGAAACATCAATGTGTGGTTGCCTCTCCCATGTCCCCCACCAGAGACCTGGCCCACAACCCAGGCATGTGCCCTGACTGGGAATCAAACCAGCGACCCTTTCGTTTGTAGGCTGGCACCCAGTCCACTGAGCCACACCAGCCAGGGCAAGGTGGTTTTTTTTTTTTTTTTTAAATTTGTATTTTACTGTTTACTAATTAGATTGAGTGTCTTTGTATATGTTGAGGAGCAATTCATGTTTTCTGTGAAATGCCTATTCATGTCTTTTGCCCTTTTTCCTATTCACAGTAGTTCTTTATATATCCTGCATTCTGATCATTTGTAGGATAAATTTATTGCAAAAGTTATCTCAGTTTGTTGTTTAGCTTACCATTCTACTTACTGTGTCTTTTTGAGAAATAGTTATTTTTAATTTTTCTGCAGTTGGACTTACCTAGTATTTTCTTTCATGGCTTGTTTCGTGTGTCTTAATAAATTCTTTCCTATCCTATGGTCATAAAAATATTTTTTGTCATTATCTGTCTACAAACACACACGTACACACACATTTAAATGTCAGACTCACTACTTAGTTTCCTTTATTTTTCCGCAAATGGATAACCAAGCATTCTAGTTATACACACTTGAGTAGCACATCTGTCCCCTCTGCTCTTCAGTGCCCTCTCTCATAAGTCAGATGTTCACATGTGTATTGATTTGGTATCCTGCAACTTCACTATGTATTTTTGATTGTTCCTAGTAAACTTACAGTGGCATCTCTAGGGTTTTCTACGTGTGGTATCATGTCATCTGCAAATAGTAAGAATTTAACTTCTTCCCAGTGTGGATGACTTACTTTTCTTGCCTAATTGCTCTGCCTAGGACTTGCAGTACTATGTTGAATAACAGTGATGGGGTGAGAGTGGGCATCCTTGTCTTGTCTCTCATCTTGGAAGACAAGCTTTCAGTTTTCCACCACTGAGTGTGTTGGCTGAGGGTTTCTCAAAAGCGGTCTTTTTTATGTGAGGTACTTCTATACCCATTTTATTGACTGTTTTAATCATTAATGGATGTTTCATCTTGTCTAATGCTTTCTCAACATGTATTAATACAATTATATGACTTTTATTTTGTTAATGTAGTATATTGCATTAATCAGTTTGCACGTGTTGAATCATCCTTCTGTTCCAGAAGTAAACTCTACCTGATTGTGATATAAATGATCTTTTTAATGTTTTGTTGTATTTGATTTGCTAGGATTTTATTTAGGATTTTTGCATCTATGCTCATCAGAGAGAGTGGTCTGTAGCGTTCTTGTGGTGTGTTTGCCTGATTTTGATATCAGAATAATGTTGGCTACATAAAATGAGTTAGGAAATATTCCCTCTTCAATTTTTTTGGAAGAATTTGAGAAGGATAGCTATTAAGTGTTCCCTGAATGTTTGGGTAGAATTCCTAATGGGGCCACCTGGTCCTGGGCTTTGTTATTTTGGGAGGTTTTTGATTACTATTTCAATTTTATTACTAGTGAGTGGTTTTTTTAGGTTTTCCAGTTTGTCATGGTTCAGTCTAAGAAGGTTATGTATATTTATAAGAATGTGTCCATTTCTTCTAGGTTATTGAATTTGATAGCATATAGACTTTCATAGTATTCTTGTGCAATCCTTTGTATTTCTGTTAATGTCCATTGTAACTGCTCTTTCACTTCTGATTTGAGTCTCTCCTTTTTTTCCTTTGTCAAGCCAGACTTTTGTCAATTTTATTCTGTTTCTCCGTGTTCTCTATTTCATTTATTTTTGCTCTGATTTTTATTATTTCCTTTCTTCTACTGACTTTTGGCTTCATTTATTCTTTTTCTAGTTTTTTTAAGATGTAATGTTATATTATTTGAGGTTTTTCTTGTTTCTTGCGATAGACCTGCAATGTTATAAACTTCCCTTTTAGTACCACTTTGCTGCATCCAAAAAATTTTGATGTGTTGTCATTTTCATTTGTCTCAATCTTCTTTGTTTTTAATTTATTTTTTAGAGAGAGAGGAAGGGAGAAAGGGAGAAACATTGATGCAAGAGAGAAAACATCAATTGCTTACCTTCTCATATGTGCCCCAATCAGGGATCAAACCTGCAACCTGGGAACGGGCTCTGACTGGCAATTGAACCCTCGACCTTTCAGCCTGTGGGACGATGCTCCAACCAGCTAAGCCACACTGGTCAGGGCTCTCTATGTATTTGTTTTTATCTCATTTCTTTTTTGACCCAGTCATTGTTCTGTAGAGTGTTGTTTAATCGCCACACATACGTGGTTTTTCCAGCTTGCTTCTTGTTAATTTCCAGTTTTATACTGTTGTGGTTGGTATGTATGCTTGGTATGATTTCAGCATTCTAAAATTCTATTGAGACTAGTTTTATGCCCCAACATATGGTCTGCCCTTTAGAATCTTCCATGTATACTTGAATGTATGTTCTGTCATTTTGGGATGGAAAGTTCTATAAATAGGGATTATGTTCATTTGGTCTAATATGTCATTTAAAGCCAGTATTTTTTATTGATTTCTTGTTTAGATGATCTATCCATTATGTCATTCGGGTATTCATAAGATCCCCTACTATAATTGTATTTTTTGTCAGGTTCTCCCTTAGGTCTGTTAGCGTTGCTTTATGTATTTTGGTGCTTCCTGGCTGGGTGCATATGTATTAAGTGTTATGTCTTGGTGAATTATCCCCTTCATCATTATAATGTCTATCTCCAGTCTCTTATTACCTTTGTTGTCTTAAAACCTATTGTTTGATATAAGTACAGCAATACCTGGCTTTTCTCCTCATTCCTTTGCTTGGATTATCATCTTCCACCCTTTCACTTTAAACCTGTGTTTGTCTTTGTAGCTGAGATGGGTATCCTGAAAGCAGCATATAGTTAGGTCTTGTTTTTTAATCCATCTTCTACTCTGCCTTTTTTTAAAAAAGGTGTAATTAGTCAACTTATTTTGAGAGAGCAGGGAAGAGGAGGAGAAAGAGGGAGAGAAACACTGATGTGCGAGAGAAACACTGATGAGCGAGAGAAACGTCGCTTGGCTGCCTCTCGCATGCCCCCACCGGGCAATGGCTGCCGTCCAAGCGTGCGCCCTGACTGGGAATTCAGAATCAAATGAGCGACCTTTTTGTCTGTGGGACAGCCCAACCTGCTGAGCCACACCAGTCAGGGCTACTCTGTGCCTTTTTATTGGTGAGTTCAGTGCATTTACATTTAGGATGACTATTGATATGTGAGGACTTAACTACAAACTGTTTTATCTTTTTGTCTTCTGGTTGCTCTGTATCATTTCTTTTCCCTTGTGTTTCTGTCCACTATTTTAGCTTGGCAATTTTCTGTAATTTTTTCCCCTCCATTTTTATGCTACATGTCTCAGCTCTAGATTTGTTTTAGGTTTACATAAAATGTAAAAAAGAAAAAGTTTCATATATACAATAGTTCTCTCTTTTGATTGTATCTTCATTCACCTGTGCAAGTTAAGACATTCCCCACTCCCCCCCACCTGTTTTTTTTGTCATAAAGTGGCCCTTTTTATGCTGTGTTCCTTTCCAAATTGCAGAAGTTATAGTCTCTTTAAAATGCTTTTTCCCCCTGACTGGTGTGGCTCAGTGGATTGAGCACTGGCCTGTGAACGAAAGGGTCACTGGTTTGATTCCCAATCAGGGCACATGCCTGGGTTGCAGGCCACGTCCTTTTTGGTTGATTTTAGAGAGAGAGGAAGGGAGAGGAACATTGATTTGTTGTTCCACTTACTTTATGCATTCATTGGCTGACTCTCATATGTGCCCTGACTAGGGATCAAACCCACAACCTTGGCATATCAGGACAATGTTCTAGCCAACTGAGCTACCTGGCCAGGACCCAAAAGTTTTAATATACTTTTGTCTTTTTGTTTCAGGTAGAAGAGCTCCTTTAAACATTTCCTGTAGTGCAGGTCTTGTCATAGTAAATTTCCTCAGCTTTTGTTGGTCTGAAAAAGCCTTCATTTCTCCTTCATATCCAGAGGTTCACTTTTCTGGTTGGTGGTTTCTCTCTTTCAGTATTTTAAATATTTCCTTCTACTCTCTCCTGGCTTGTAAGGTTTCTGCAGAAGAATCCAATGATTATCTAATAGGGTTTCCTTTGTAGGTTACAACCTTTTTGCTGCTGGCTGCCATGTCATTGATTTTTGACAGTTTTAATGTGTCTTAGAGGTCTTTTTGCATTGACATAATTAGGTGTTCGGTTAGCATCTGCTGCTACTTTTGTTGTTGTTGTTCTTTGTGATTCCATTAATGTGAAATTCTAGAGGCAGCAAAAGTTATGGAAATAAGGCCAGTCTTGGCCCCAGGGCTGGTGGGTGATTGACTGCAAAGGGACGTGGAAGAGCCTTTTAGAAGACGTCCTGTATTTTGATTGTAGTTGTAATTACACAGGTATATACATTTGTCAGAACTCATTGAAATGTGCTCCAAAAATGGGTGCATTGTTACATGAAGTTGATTTTTAAAAGGGGACAAGAAGAGGAGGCAGCAAGGACAGAATAATTCACATTAAAGATAACATGAGTTCTGTTAGCTTCTTGAATTTAAGGGTACAGTTCTTTCCATAGTTTGGTAAATTCTTATCAATTATTAATTTGATAAGCTCTCTGTTACCTTCTCCTGCTCTTCTGTATTCTGGTAGACCTATTATCATTGTTTCTCTTTTAAGTCAGATGGGTCTCACAGAGTTCTTTCTTTCTTTCTTTTTAAACTCTCAGTTCATTCTTCCACCTGAGTCATTTCTAGATTTCTATCTTTGAGCTCCCTAATTGTGTCTTCCATCTGGCTTGCTGTTTCCAGTGCTTTCTCATTCATTCTTCAACTCATTTGAGTTCTTCAGCTCCAGAATTTCTGTTCAGTAAAGTTCTCCTTTTGTTTGTTGATTCTATTCCTTAACTCACAGAACTGCCTTATTGAGTTGTTTTCATAACTGCAGTCTTGAATTTTCTGTCATTTAAATCAGTCTCCTTTGTCTTGGAGTTTGGTTTCTGGATACTTTTCTTTCTGAGGTAGCTTGTTACCTTGGTTATTCATGGTGCTTGATGGATTGTTTCTCTGCATGAGCACATGATGTAGTGAACTCTTTTTTTTTTTTTTTAAGGTACTCGTAATTCCGCAGGTTGAAAAGTACAAGAAGATCTTTCTTTTGTATTCCAGTAGATGGTGCTAGAGTGCAAGTTTTTGTTTCATTTTACCTGCTCTGATGGCGCCTCACAGAATCTCTGTGGGGCAGTGTTGCCTCAGTCATGGAAAATGCGCCTTATTTCCCAAGGATGTTTGTCCCTTGTGTCCAGGTCACCTTAGTCTCAGAGTACCATCCCTGTGGTGGGATGGGGCAGACAATGGGGCTCTGGGCCTGTCAGTTCTCAGTGTTCCCTTTTTGTAACCGGAGGCTGCCAGCCATGCTGTGTGCTCTCTCAGATGTCTCCATACCAGGTTCCACCAAAATGGGTGGGTGGGTGGGTGGGGGTGGTGTTGGGTCCGCAAGTCTGCAGCTTTGCCGTCTTGCTGGTAATCGTGGCCACCAGTCTGATGCTGCCACAACACCACTGTGCTGTGTTGCAGCCCAGTTTAGCTGCAGTTGGAGCCTGCTACTGAAGGAGGAATGTTGCAGGTTTAGCTGCAATAGGTGCTGTCCCCTCAGGCTGAAATGTTTCTGCTCCCCGCTGGCTGTCGTGTGAGAGGTGCAGCCTGACTCCTTCCTGCCATTGTGTCAGCTTGGGGCCGTGGTGAGCGCCAGACTGCAGCTGCAGCTGCAGCCCCATCTCTCCTTCCTGGGCCGTCCTCCCTTGTTGCCATGCCACCTTCAAGTGGCTCGATGTGCAGGTCTCGGATGTGTTTGTGTGTTGAATTATAGTTGTCTGACTTGTAATTTTATGATGCTAATGTCATTCCTCTTTTTCTTAGCCTATAGGTGTCAAGCTGCTCCAGCACCTTTATCTTTCCCCCATTTAACTAACTTTTGTATCTTTGTCAAAAAATCATTTGGGCATATTTGTGTCCATTTCTGGAGTGTACATTCTGTTCTGTTGGTGGTTTCCTCCATCATTACCCCACCATTGCAATTGCTGTAGCTGTACCCAGGCATACCTCATTTTATTGTGATTCCCCTTATTGAGCTTCACTGGTGTAGCGTGATTTACAAATGGAAGGCAAGACCCTGTGTCAGCAAATAGATTACAACTCACCTTATTGCAGTGGTTTGCAGCCAAACTTGAAATATTTCCGAGGTATGCCTGTAATGAGTTTAGAAATCTAGGAGACTCATTCCTCCCACTTTATTCTTTCTCAAAATTGTTTTAGCTATAAGTGTTAAAAATAATCTTACCTACCTCTACAAAAAAATGGTGCTGGAATTTTGGCAAGAACTGCATTAAATCCATTTGTCAATTTGGGGAGAATTGATATCTTTGCTATGTTGCATCTTCCAGTCCATGAACTTGGTAAGTCTCCATTTATTTAAATCTTGTTTGATTTCATTCATCTGTGTTTTGTCGTTTTCAGCATACAAGTCCTCATGTGTTTTGTTAGATTTACATCTAAGCATTTTAGTTTTAGAAGCAATCGTAAATGGTACTTTGTTTTTAATTGTGGTGTTCACGTGGTCAATGCTAATATGTAGAAATAGGTTTTTGCATGTATCTTATACCCTGAGATCTTGCTGAATTCTCTTATTCTGGGTAGTTTTTTGATAGATAACCTTAGGATTTTCTACATAGACAAATGTCATCTGCATGACAATGCTGATTCCTGGGTCCCAACCCAGAAACTGAGTTGCCTGGATATGAGGACTTCTAAAGATTTCCCTTGTGGTTCTAATAAGCAGCTAAGGCTAAGAATCACTGCTCTTTGAACCTGTCAGCAAGCCAAGACGCCTTGAATGTGAGGGACAAGTGCCCTGACTGCCCACTCGGCACTGGGGCCCAGCTTGCTGGCGGGCAGCATGGTTAACAGGCTTGCACTTGGCTCCTGAGGAAGACAAGGCCCTGGGCCTAATGGCCTGGCCCCTTCTAGCCCAGAACACACAAGTAGACTGATGAATAACCAACCAGTTTTAATGAACACAAAATACTGATGCGTATAAAAAGGTATTTTTGTCTGTCACTTAAGTATCCCCATATTCTCGATGGGGAGTTGTCTTCTCCATGGACCAGAGTACCTGTTTCTCCCGTGGCCCCAGCATCTGGGTGAATGCTCTCCACACAGGGCAGCAGCTGCCCATGCAAGGAAGATGTGGGGCTGTAGTCAGCTTCTTCACACAGTAAGAATAGGCTTGTTCTTGGCCTGAGAAGGCCACCGTTAGATAAAAATGACTGCTGTAGAATGTGTGTCTGTCCCGGTGCCTTATGTATGTGAGGGAGGCTAAATCTTCATCTTGGAGCCTGTCCCTCAGCCTACAGCTCTCAGTTTAGGGCTGAGTTCTGTAAGACTCACTCTCTGGCATGTAGGGACCCAGCCCTGCCAGGAGCATGTCTATACCAGCACAACTTGAAGTACAGACAGTGGAAGAGGAGGAATCTTTAGGAGAACATGTGCCAAGTTGGGTCCTAAGTGTACCCCCAGTTAGCAGCTGGGGGACAGGAGCAGGTGAATTCCTCTGCTTCCGTTCACAGTGGAGCTCAGCTCCTCGGTGTCCCGCCTCAGAGGATGCAGAAGGCAGCCCCAGGGTGCAGCCAAGAGCTCAAGCACCAGTGCCAGGACGGTGTTAGTGCCTGAGGCAAAGTAGGGTTACGGGCCACCACCCCAAAAGCTGAGTGGGCCACAAGCAACCCCAGCACCCCAGTCACTTCACCGTTTAAAGAGAGCTCCCGGCTGGTCATGCAGAAAGTGGTGGGCAGGCCTGACCAAATCCTTTAGAGAGTGGGCATGGGGTTCTCTAAAGCAGAGCTCCAGCTCTTCAGTCTTAGGGCTTCCGTGGGAACCGGGCTGGTACTGGACTTCTGCGGTGGGGCCTCAGACCTGCTGGGCAGTCCCCTCCAGACCCAGCACCAGAGCCCCTACGACCAAAGGGGTCAAGAGCCACTCGAGACACCATCAGGTTTCTGCTGACAGGAGTGGGGTCACTCAAACCCCTGCCCCGAGTCACCACCCAGCAGGAAACGCCATGGTGGAGGTTGGGGCCTAAGCAGTCCCCTAGACGGAGGCTCACTAGAGACTGGGGAAGTTTAGCACCAGCCCTGGGGAGCCTGAGGTATAGGACACTTCAGCTTTTGCTCCGTCCTGAGCTCCCAGTTTTTTCTGCTGTCGTTTGTCTGGACCCATCTTGCTTCCTGCTCACCCAGGGTTCCGCTTCAGCTCCTTACTGGCTTGTGCCCTGGCAGGGAGCAGGTCCTCCCTGAGACTTGAAGCCAGGGAGGCCGTTTCATCCACCTGGCAGGCCTGGATCCTGAGCTGCTCCTTTCCTGACAGGGCTGCCCTGGAGGCCTGAGGAATCAGGCCTGAGCTCAGAACCAGACGGGTGTGAGGGTGGGAGGAGAAGGGGATGGAATCCTGGCTGAGAGAGGCCCTGCAGGGCTGCTCTCATCAGCACCGTGTGCGGGGGTGCCCCACGTGGGCCTGCAGAGCCTCCCGGATGCCTCGTTGCCAGTCTCGGGCCAGCTGTGCGGGGGTCACTGAAGCCTGGGAGCAAGGTTGCCGGGTCAGTCTTCTCTCTCAGGTGCCCTGCCCAGCCACCCTCCTCGCTGCATGACCAGGCCTGGGGCCTGCTGGGACTCACCTGGTTCTGCACGCCCAGCTGGGCTCCATAGAGCAGGAGTACCTTCATGGCTCTGTAGTGGCCGTGCCGCACAGCCTCGTGTAGAGCTGTGTCCCCTTCCTGCCAAGAAAGGAGACACTGATGCTCTCCTTCCTGGGAGCATGCCCATGCCCTTACCTGCTCCTCCTTCCCCTACAGGCATGCATCTCCTAAACTCAAGGGTCCCTATGAGATGCAACCAGGGGAGCAATGGGAAATGTAGCTCATCCCAGGCCAGCTCCCTGACCCTGTCCTAAGGCCCCTTTTCTCTGATTTCCCAGCGATCCAAGGCAGCCCCACTTAGGCTTTCCTATTGTTTCTTCGATACTATGCCCTTCCTTGTTTCACTGCCCCCAGCTTTTTAAGAGAGAGAAAAGGGATGTCATCCTCCTAACTTCCCCAGTCATAGGAAGGGTTGGGTTGGCAGGTGCTGTTCCCTGAGCTCAGGTGCCATCGGTCACTCCCTCACTAGAGCTGCCCCAAATAAGTGCTCACCTTGTCCTGTGCGTCAATGTGGGCTCCACATGCGATGAGGTGCTCCAGGCACTCACAGTGCCCTGTGCGCACGGCCACGTGCAGGGGGGTGCTCCAGATCTAAGGGTGTGAGTGAGAATGTGTCCAAAGAGCTGTGTTTCATCCAGGAACAAAGTCCGTTCCGTGCACTGCTCACCTGCTCCTAACAGGCTGCCCCACTGTGTTGTGCTCTCACCTTGTCCCGGGCATTGACCTGGGCTCCGTGGTTAAGCAGCTGCTTGAGGATGTCCAGGTGTCCTCCACGACAGGCCCAGAACACAGGCGTCCTGTCCAGCTGCAAAACAAAAGCACTGAAGCCCTGACATGCTGTATGCCAGGTAGAGCCTCTGCTGGGAGAATGAGCCTTCCCTGATTCTCACCAAGTCGCGAGCGTCCACAGTGGCCCCTGCCTCCAACAGCCTGTTCACGAGCTGGCTGTGACCCTTCAGGCAGGCCCAGTGCAAGGCTGTGCGGTGGAGCTGGAGGGTGGAGACAGGAGGTTACTGTATTTGTGCCATGTATAACGCGCACCCATGTTTTTGGCCCAAGTTTTCAGGAAAAGTTTTATTTTGAGATACTTTTTTTTTTGTATTGTAAAGGAGTTTTAGCATTTATTTTTGAACATGTTACGGTACAAGAAATTTTATGTAACAAATAATTACAAAACACAAGAACAGATACAAGGTATTTCAGGTACTACTGCTGTATGATGTACATCCTTATCTTTCTCTCAAACATTTGGGCCCAAAAGTGCACATTATACGCAGCAAAATACGGTAAGTGGAGGGAACATGGCCACCCCTAGAGGTCCCGCCCTGATCCCATTCCCAGATTTGGCGCCCTGAAAAGAGCTGCCTGTTCCCTAATCATGCAAAGGGCCCCTTCCTCTGGCTCAGGAGGCGCCAGGGGTTCGTGCCAATAAAACAGAAAAGCACCCCAAAGACAGCCCCCCAGCAGCTTCTGAGCTGCGCTCCAATTTGCTCCACCCTTGCTACCTTGTCCTGGGCATTAGGGTCTCCTCCATCTGTCAGGTATTTGTCAATCAGGGCCTCCTGGTTCTCAGCAGCTGCCTTCAGGAACATCTCCAGGTCCACAGGCTCCAGCTGGGCCTGGGGCTGTGGCTGGATAAGTTAAGGACAAAAGTCCACAAACGGCCTCAAGAGACGTCACCACTTCACTAGTCACACCAGGTGGTCCCCACAGAGACGCTGTCAGCTTGTACAAATGATAGGTTTTGACAAATCCTCAGGAGATTCTGGCTGAAGAGCTGTTTGGGTAGGGGAACTCTGGGTTGACTTGTGTCCCCCAAGTTCATACGTTGAAGTCCTAACCTCCAGAACCTCAGATTGTGACCTTACTTGGAAATGGTCATTGCAGCCGTAGTTAAGATGTCCTACTGGAGCAGGGTGGGCCCTAATCCAGTATAATTGGTGTCCTCACAAAAAAGGAACATCTGGAATCAGACATGCACACGGAGCACGGAGAATGCCAGATGAACATGAGACAGAGACTGGGGTGATGTGTCCACAGGTGAAAGACCAAACTTCGCCACCAACGCCCAGGAACTCGGACAGGCCTGGGCAGACCCTCGCTTTACAGCCTTCAGAGCTGTTTAGGCCCCCAGCAGCCCCAGCAACTGAACACAGGGTGGGGGCTCCAGGATGGACTCCCGGCTCATCAGTTGCTGCTGTGCGAATGTGGCTAGCAGCGTCCACTGTTCCCCAAGTCCTCCCCCAGACTCAGAAAGCTCTTCCTCAAGAACTCAAGCTTTAGGGGTGTGCGCCCCTCACCAACCCAGCTTCTCACCCACCTCAACCACGGGCTCAGGTGCCCTGGGGGGGACTCTGCGCTTCAGTCGCTTTTCTCTTCGTCTTTGAACCAAGTTTTCCAAGTCAGCCAGAGTGTCCAGGTTAAGTCTGGAACTCTCAAATCTCTGAAGCTGGGGCAAAAGATGAAAGACCATGCCAGCCATTGCCCACAGGTTATGGGGTCCTGGGGGCAGGCTCTTACTCTAACCCGCATCTTCTTCATCCAGAGCAGAACCACCAGCTGCTCTGGCTGCCACCCCTGCATTACTCACTCTCCTCTTCTCTTCTCCTCCCTGTTTCTGCCTTTCCTGGGCCACGGCCTCATGGGGTCCCAGCCTCCAGTTGCCTGGCCAGGCTCCAGGATCAGGAACTCCACATCCACATCCCAACACTTTCCTTTCTTCTCTTTCTCCGCTTGCCTGTAGGAACAGGATAAGGATAAAGAAAACTATGAGTCCTTAGAGAACCTAGCTGTGCAGTTGGGGGGTTTGCGGCGGGGGGGGGGCGGTCCTGACAAGAACTAACCAACATAGGTCAGTGTCCTGGTCTGAGGGCTTGGCCTGGCCCTTCACCAAGTTCATGGTGCTAGGGTTGCTGCTGGCTCTCAACAACAGCCATCCTGTCCTGTCAGCAAGGGCACAGAGCTGGGGGTATGACCCAACATCTATTTCTACTCCTGGGCATATGACTACTCCTGGGCATATGACACCTGAGCTTCCCTCAGGCGTTGCTGCCCTCACATTCCTACCAGATCATGCCACACTGCCGCCTGACCCCAAGCTCAGAGGGACAGAGGAGATGCTACCTGGGTAAAAGTCTGAGTGGCTCGGTTCAAGTTTTGGCTCTTCACAAAGCTGTGTCTTCATCGGTAAAATGGTGTAGAACTAGCACTTGACTCACATTGCTGTGCTGGGGCAGAGCCTGCCACCTAATGCTACACACAGCCTGTTCTTCCAGCCCCTCCCCCCGAACATCAGAAGCTGGGAGCACCAAGGAAGGAACATGTCGAGGGGAGAGAGAGGTTGGGACAACAGGATGTCAGGGCCTGGGGCTTCCAGCCGCAGAGAACTGTATTCCCTTTCAAAGCAAATACTGGCAACCTAACACTTCCTGGGGCCTGCAGTCCCTCCTGCAGAGGCTGTCCTAATCTGGGGCCCGCTGGCTGGCCCTTGTGACATCCTGTGCCTCCTGTGTGCCCCCTCACCAAAACACATCCCCAACTGTCACTGGTGTTGCTGTTTCTCTCAGTTCCTAGGGGACTGGAGAGCACCCTTCTCCCTCCCCAACTAAGGCATCCAGACTCCTGGCCCATTTCCAGAGCATTGGCTATCCTGACAGTTGAGCTAAACCAAGACCCAGCCACAGTCATAGTTCCCAGGGGAACCTGCCATTTCCTGCTCCTCTTTAGCCATCACGGTCAAGGGCAAAACTTACTAAACTCCGGGATTTTCACGCCGCCATCAGCCAACATCTTGCATCATCAGTTTCCTTCTCTTGCTCCCTAACCTCACACTCACCACTTCCACGAGAACCAGGCAGACAGATGAGAAGATTCTGCTCCAAAACTCGATCCTTAGACCACAGAAGCAGCTGCCTTCCCTCCTTGTTTTGCTGAGACAGTCTGGGGGTCCCTAGATGATTGCCTGACCTCCCACCCCTCTTCCCATGTCCTTACCAACTGCTGGACACTGACGACGTCCATGGTCCCCCCCTCCCATTCTCCAGTCCAGTCCCCAGTGACGAGAGCTGAGCTGTCAGCCCTTTTATAGGCAAACTGTCTCCTGGGGACAGAAGGCAGGCGAGGCTTGCGCCTGGGCCAGATGACACTGTGGTTCTGTAATGCTCACCAAAATACCAGTGTGGGCCAGCAGCCATGCAGGCAGTAGGTGGAGCTGTTCTGAGCTGAGGCAGGTGCATCCTCGGACACCCACTATCCTGCCCCAGTGCCACCCCACACCTGCTCCTGAGTAATTCCCCATAGACCCGTGTTTTAGGGTGCCGGGGCCACTGGCCCAGATTCAGGGGGAGATAGTTCCCACTTCACTCAGTTCAGACACCACTTAGGAAAGTCTGATGTGAGCCTCCACGTGGCTGTAGGTCTGGCCACCAGAGACCCTGAAAGGCCCAGCCCAACTGCCCTAGTGAAAGGAGAGGACAGAATTGTAGGGGACCTGGGAAGGACAGGCCCAGGAAGCAGACTTCTGCTTCAGAAACCCTCATGGCACCTACAGGAGAAATCAGGCTTCAAGGGATTTCGTAGCTCCCAGCCATTGTCAAGGCTGCCCCCCACTCTGCCCCCACTTCTCCCTCACCACTCTGAGAGCCAGCATATTAACACCATCAGGGGCCAGGTCCAATCTGTCATCAGCACCTTGGCCTTTGAAGACCCTTCTATGTCCCACATGCATGTCTCTACGGGGTGCTGTCCTGGTGTGGGACAAGCCTTTCCATAGAGGTTAGAGTGACAAATACAGGTCCAAATACACCACATTAACCATTAATCCAGTCACAAAGCAACCTGTCACAAGCCCCAAAGTCAAACTTCCTAATCGTGGGGTGTGCCAGCATGCCCTTCAACCAGCTGTGCCTTGAATTCTTAACCTTTGAAAGGAAATCTGATAGCCAGTAAATAAGACTCCATAATGGGAGCAACATGAGCAGTGATGACAAAGGAGAGGGAGGGGGAAATGTAGGCCGAGGACAGCCCAAGGCCCTGAAGGGCTGTCAGCGGTCCCACCTACAGCTGGCTGGCTAATGGGTCAGTGCTTGCCCGTTCCGAGACCAGGGTGTCTTAAAGCAGCTCAGTCTTTATGCTGCACGGTATCCTGTCAAAGGTGATTTCTTGCCTTTCCTTATGAAGAAGGAAAGGGTTTCCTAGACCTGAGTGAAGGTGAACAGACAAGAAAAAGACTGGCTCTGGGCGCCACTGCCAGCCTGGGCGCCGCCGCCGCTGGCCATGGACTCACATTCCTCTCCCTCAGCATTCCCTAATGGGTTTCATCTGAAACTCTAAGCAGAAAACTTGTTTCTTCCACATGAAACTAACTGGTTTTAACTCTGACTTATAATTAAATTACTCCTTGTAAAAAATGCACATATAATGAATAAGGCTCAAGAAGACCCCCTTTACTATCCACTCTAGCCACAGTGGCCCTAGGGAACCACGGTCACCAGTTTGCTATATTCCCTCCTGACTTTGTTCCTGTAATTTTGTGTCTGTACATGTTTCTACAGACATGTTTTAAGAGGCATCATACTTTGATCACAACTCAGCACACTTCCCACATTAGTATAGACCATTCCACTGCATTGCATTCAGATAATATGTGGACCAGAACGTAACTATTTCCCTATCAGGGAGCACCCTGGTTTTTTCTTTTCTTTTCTTTTCTTTTTTAAACATTATACCCCAGGCTCTAATGTGCATCTTTGTAAATGCCTCTAAATAAGCATCTTTGTAGATATGAATATTTCAGTAGGTAGCTACAGAGAAATCAAATTATTGGCCCTGTTCATTTAAATGTTAATAAACATTGCCAAACTGCCACCTATGGTGGCTGTACCAATTCCGATGAACAGATACCAACAAAGTTAAGACAAATGACAGTATGAAAGGAAAAAAAAATACACATAAAACACAGAATCAATATCCAGAATACATAAACAACTCCCATAAGTCAATAAAAAAGAAAAATTTTAATGGGCAAAGGATATGGACAGAAAGCTCACAAAAGACAGGTGTCAACCTCATAAGCAGCAATTCAAACTAAAAAAAGGAAGAGCACTTTTAAATATATCAGAGTATTAAAATGAACAAAATTATGGTAAAAAACATGCCGATCAGGTTTTGAGGAAGTGGGTATTCTAATATCCTGCTTGCAGCATGCCAGGAACTCTCTCCAGTGCACCCCATATACTCAAGCATCTAATCCCCATAGTGATTTTGAGGTGGCCCCTATCATAATCATTCTCATCTTGTAGGTAAGGAAATGGGGACAGACAGGTAAAGTGACTTTTACCAAGGTTCTTAGGCTAGCAGAAGCTTTCAATTTGTTATATTGTCCATGGTTTCTTCTAATATTTACAGTTTCATGTTTTTCAATTTAGGTCTTTAATCTACTTGAAATTTTGGGCATGGGATTAGGTAAGGCTATAACTTTTATTTTTTTCAAATGAGTAGATGTTTCCACATGAATTAATTTAAAAGAGGACCATCTGTCCAGGCTCAAGCACTTGCGGCCCCTGAATCTCCTCCCTCACTTCAGTGGCCAAAATTGGGCTCTTCCTGGGTCTTCGGGCCTTGGTTTCCCACCCTTCAGCATGGACGCTGACCAAAGCTGTGGCCTGGAGACCCAGTCTATATCTCATTGCATGGCAGCCTGAGACAGAAGGTGGTGAGTCAGCTGGCCAGCAGGTCCTGCAGGCCACTGTTGCAGGGCAGCAGGTCACATGCCAGTCGTGCCTTCCGATCCCGGACAGCCTTCAGGGCTGGGCTGTGCTGCAGTAGGAGGGAGCAGATGTCCACGTGGCCCTTCTCAGCAGCCTGTGGAGAGAGCAGGCTGAATAAAAAGTCATACCCTTACTGGGCCCTGCTCTTTCTTGCTCTGCTTCTGGGGTTCTTTTTGTCCCCATGGAAATGGAGATACTGGCTGTTTGAGTAGACTTCCCCTTATTCCTATAAAATCCCATGACTTGTATGCAGATGGGCAGAGGACTCTAGTGACATTCTGGCAGTTAGCTTAAATTTTTGGTTCTTTGTTCAGTGGCCATTCTTCTTTGTCCAGGCTGCATATTAAAGACAAGTACAGAACCTTGAGTCTCTAAGTGTCTTTTACAAACATTCAGATCACCTACAGGGTGCTGGGCACCATGAACACAGTAGACATCAGACGTGGCCTCTGCCCTCTGGGAACTTTCAAATGAGCAGAGAAAAATAGGCCCAGGTTCCCCCCTTTCTCCTCTTCCCTTGGATTTCTCAATTTCTAACCTATCTCCAAAATATAACAGAGTTAAGTGATTTACACAAATGATCTCATTTAACTTTCACAGTAACCATGAGAGGTGGGAACTATCATTATTCCCATTATATATATGAAGAAAGTGCGGCTTATAAAAGTTAAACAACATGCCTTAGGTCACAAAGCTAGTGTGGCAGCTTGGGGATTCCAAAGCAGGTCTGTCTGACCTCAAAGTCTGAACTCGTTCTTCAATTGTTTTTGGATTTTATTTATTTTTAGAGAGAGGGGAAGGGAGGGAGAAAGGGAGGTAGAGAAACACTGATGTGCGAGAGATACATCAATCTGTTGACTCTCACGTGCCCCCAGCTGGGGACCTGGCCCACAACCCAGGCATGTTCCCTGACTGGGCATCGAACCAGTGACCTTTTGGTTTGCAGGCCAGCATTCAATCCACTGAGCCACACCAGCCATGGCAAAGTCTGAACTCTTAACAACTGTTATTCCACTGTATTTCCTACTTCTCCCAACAGACAAATTGATAATTACAGGTATTTTTGAGAGGTATCAAAATTAGTATTAGTAGCAACCATTATCTCAAATTTGAATCCAGATCGTTTTTAGCAGGTACTCTTGATATGTACAGACCCAGGTTCTCAGTTCTGTTGCCTCAATTCAGGCAGTGGTATATTGTGAGCAACTCTGAGATGCATTCCAAGTAATTTTTTACCAAAAATAAATAAATAAAACCCAATGTTCGCAAGCAGTTTATTTATTTATTTATTTATTAGCTTTTTACGGTCAGCATTTTAAATTATTATTATCTTTCTTTATCCTCACCCAAGGACATTTTTTCATTGCTTTTAGAGAGAGAGGAAAGTGAGAGAGAGAGAGAGAGAGAGAGAGAGAGAGAAATATCAATGTAAGAGAGAAACACAGATCAGCTGCCCTCTCATATACACCTCAACCAGGGATCAATCCTGCAACCTGGGTATGTGCCCTGACAAGGAATTGGACCCACGATCTTTCAGTCTACAAGACAGTGCTTCAACCAACTGAGCCACACTGGCCAGGAAATAAGTAATTTATTTTTTAAAGAAAGAATGAGAGGTCTAAGATGGCAGTGGTGTAGGAAGACGTAGAACTTGCCCCCTCCCATGAGCACACTGAAATATATGCCCACACATAGAGAGAGCAATTCCTTCTAAGAAAAACAACTGAGGGCAATTGAACAATTTCTGTACAACAAATGATAGAGTGAAACTGTTCAGAGAAAGCTGGGGAACCGTGGGAGCCCTCCAGTATCTGCGGAAATTCTCCAAGGTCAGAGTGCCAGTGAACACCATTGTTTGCATTCCCCTACACCTCTGTAGGGCAGGCAGGAGCTCTCTCCAGGTACTCTGGCCTACATGTACGGTCACTGCAGTATGTTCCCAACCACATCACCCACAGCCCATTTCAGCTCTGCACAAAGGGAGCAAGCAGGATCAACATGGCATTGTCACATGCACCTGGCCTCCCCATATGGAGCTGCTCTAGCCTGGCAGGCCAGTGCCGGGGGTACTAAGAGCACCTGCCTGGCTCCAATGGCTTGTTAAAACCACCCAGCACACACAGCCTACACAGAGGTCACTTCTACACAAAGCTACTTTTTCAAGACTGGAAAAGGTAGTTATTTTGTCTAATTATATAAATTAGAACGTCAAACGAAATGAGAACATGGAGGAATATTTCTTAAGTGACAGAACAAGGAAAACACCCAGAAAAAAAGTCCTAAATAAACAAGATAAATAATTTATCTGATAAAGAATTCAAAGAAATGGTTATAAGGATGCTCACTAAACTTCAGAGTAAAATAGAGGAACTTAGGGAGAACTTCAACAAAGAAAAAGAATAATAAAGAACCAAGCAGCTCTGATTGGTGTGACTCAGTTGGTTGGGCAGCGTTCCACAAAGTGAAAGGCTGTTGGTTTGATTCCTTGTCTGGGCACATGCTTGGGTTGCAGGCCAAGTCCCTGGTCAGGGCACATATGAGAGGCGGCAGATCAATGTTTCTCTCTCACATTGATGTTTCTATCCCTCTCTCCCTCCCTTCCCCTCTCTCTAAAAATAAATAAATAAAATCTTTTTTTTTTTAAAGGAAAAGAACCAAGAAGACCTGAAGAATACAATAACTGAAATGAAAAATACATTAGAAGGAATCAACCTCAGATTAGCCAATATAGAAGAATGGATCAGCAAATAAATAATATACATAAACCACATGGTAACCATAAATCAAAAACCTACAAAAGGCACACAAAAAAAATAAAGAGAAAGGTACCCAAACAAAAGAATAAAGAAAACCAGCAAACCACAAGGGAAGCAATCAAGAGAAGAAAGGAATAGAGAGGAACTACAATCAAAATAACAAGAAAAAGGAAATAAGTACTACTTATCAATAATGACTTTAAAGGTATTAAATGCTCCAATAAAAACACATAGATGGCTGAATGGATTAAAAACCATGTCTATATGCTCCTGACAAGAGACTCACTTGAAACTGACAGGCACATACAAGCTGAAAGTGAAGGGATGGAAAAAGATACTTCATACAAATAGAAATGAAAAGAAAGCTGGAGTAGGAATGCTTGTATTAGACTGAAGAGACTTCAAAACAAAGAATGTAAAAAAAAGACAAAGAAGGTAAAAAATACTACATAATTATAAAAGGGTCAATTCAAGAGGAGGATATAACAGTCATAAATACCTATGCACCCAACTCAGGAGCATCTAAATACATAAAGCAACTATTAATGGACATAAAGAAAAATATATACCGTAATACTAAAATAGTAGGAGATTTTGATACCCTACTCACATCAATGGAGAGAGAGTTCTGACAGAAAATTAATAAGGAAATAATGGCCTTAAATGTCACATCACACCAGATCAACATAATAGATATTTTTAGAGCATTTCATCCAAAAACTGCATTATATTTTTTTTCAAGTGCACATGGAACATTCTCCAGAATAGACCACATATTATGCAACAAAACAAGTCTCAATAAATTCCAGAACATTCAAATCATATCAAGAATCTTAACTAACTACAGTGGCATGAAACCAGATATCAACAACAGGAAGAAGGCCCCTGGCTGGCGCGGCTCAGATGACTGATCACTGGCCTGTGAACTGAAACAACAGTAAGAAGGAAACGGGAAAATGCACAAATACGTGGGAGCTAAACAACATGCTATTAAACAGGAAATCAGTAACCACCTTGTGACAATTGAATATGAAAACACAACTTTCCAAAATTTATGGAATGTAGCAAAAGGGAGGTTTATAGCTATACAGGTTTACATCAAAAAACAAACAAAAATTCCCAAATACTGGCCAGTCAAGATGGTGGCACAGGCAGACATGGCTCGCCTCCTCGCATGACCACATCAAAATTACAACTAAAATATAGGACAGCCATCACTCAGAACCGTCAGATATCAAGTTGAATGGAAGTCTGACAACTATGGAACTAAAGAAACCACAGCCATTGAGACTGGTAGGAGAGGCGCAAATGCTGAATGGGCTGGTCTCTCCCCCATGTGTGGTTGTAAGGGTACTCATATCAGGAGGGCTATCTCAGGAGCGAGGGGTCCCAGCCCCACACCAGGCCCCTCAGCCCAGAGTTCCAGTCTCCAAAACTTCTGGCTGTAAAAACCAGTGCGGATTAAGTCAGCGGAAGAAACCACCGGAGCACCAAGCAGCTCCTCTTAGAGGGCCGACACACAAAATCACCTACTCAGACTCACTCCCTCTGAGCTCCAGCACTGGAGTGGCAGCTTGAAGGGCACCAGAGGCTGGGAGAGGCTGAAGTGTCTGGCACTGGGGCAAGCAGAGGCCATTGTCCTTTTTCTGATCCCTCCCCCAAGAGAACCACGGAGCCAGCAGGCTGGTGCCACATTTGAGACTCCACTAACCTGGCTAACACTGCTGGCCCCGCCTTGGAGACCCCTGATTATTCTGCCCCACCCAATTTACAGGCCCACCCAAGCTGCTTTTCCATATAAATGGCTGGTCTTGATTCATGCTTCACAACTTCCTAAATCCTATCAAACAAGCAACAGCCGGCCTCAGTGAGCTCCAGGCCAGGCACCAGCAGTAGCCAGAGAAGCGTCGCAGCTTGCCTTTGCCTGGGAATCTCCAAGCCCAGCCCAAGTAGCAGCCATCTCAGATTGCTTTATAGCTCATGCAGGGTGACCCTGGGCAAAACACAGGGTGGGGGCTGACCTTGGTCTGCACCACCCGGGGAAACCCCAGGGCCAGGAGACCCAGTGGACAGCTACAGACCACGTCAGAGCACCACCACCCTGCCCCTGCACAGCTGATCCGCCATGGAGGGCGGAGGTTGGTGGGGAGTTGTCACTGCCAGTCCTTGCAGCTGGCTGGCCTGGGCAAATCCCTCCCATTGACCTGCCAACAGCAACCAAGGCTCAAGTACAAGAGGAGGGCGTACTCAGCCCACACAGATGGTGCACCTCGAATACCTAGCTTGGGTGACAGGGGAGGCTGTGCCACAGAACCCTAGAGGACACTTACTACATTAG